TATGTTTAATTATTTTATATACATTGAGTATGTTAGCTTGATAAATTATTACTAGTGTGGGGAGACAAAAATGTGAAATAACTAATAAAAAATTTTTATTGGACATTTAACCAATTTAATGATAGTAAATGAACTTCTGGTTTTCACTTGAAAAGTGGGGAGTAGAAAATAACTTTGTTTGAGTCCTCACCAAGGTTGGGTGACGAAATATTTTGGAGTGTAAAAAATATTTTGTCAAATGGGGCACACGTGACAAAATGTGATGAAATGGTCAAAATAATTTGAATTTTTTCTTTAGTCAGTTAGAATAGCACTTTCATAAAAGTTTGACAAAAGAGCTTGGCATTCTGTTTTTGTTTATTACATTCATTGCTTTGTTGATTGTTAATTTCATCCAAATAAAAATGAGAAATAGAATAATAATAATGACATGCAGGACATTCATTAGCTAAATGAGTCTTGAATTTAAAAGATGTTCCATGATTTCAGGTTTTTGGACAATATTTTCAAGATGTTGAGTAATGTCCTTTTACTTTTCCATTACATCAGACACAGGACATCCTGGAGTTAATTCCTAATTATTGTTAAATGAATATCAGATATATTATCTAAATTTAATGTTTATAGAATTAGAATTAACTATAAATCAGCCCCTTATAATTAAAAGCAAAATTTTTCTAATGCAACCTTCCAAGTGGTTAGAAGCAACTTTGTAGGGAACAATTTGGCACAACTGTTGCTGCTGAATTTGCTTTAGTCTACATACTAGTCAAGTGATAATCTTAAAATAAGTGTGAAGAAAAGAAACACTTCTGACCTGGCGTAGAATAACAATATTTAAGCTAGACTTTTCTTTTAACTGTTGTTAAAGTCCCAGTCTAGCTCTAAAATTTTATTATGGTTGTAAATCGCTTGCTATACAAAAAACGGAGATTTTTTTTTTGAAGTGGATGATAATAATTTTATTTGTGTAACATTATAAACATTACATGATAATAATAGTAAACTACTCTTAGTTGAGATTTAAATTTTTATTTATGCAATAATTTTTTTGATCCTTAATATAAAAATAATGATGAATAATCATCTACTAATATAAAAAAGGCAGACTTTTTAATCAAGTTTTTCGTACTTTCTTGTAGGAGACCTAAGTCTACTTGGTTGAATATATTCATGCCTTTCAGAAACCCCTACAGGTTCTCCACAGCAAATCTTTGATATAACTTGTCATAATTCTTGAAGTCATTTGGTAGATTATTTGATCCCACTCTAATAAATGAAAGAGATTATATTAATTCCTTATGTAATAAAAGATAACAATGCTAAAGAGATATGTAACTTACTGCAAGACGAATCATAGTTTCTATTGGCTTTGCCATACATTGAAAACCTACTGATGATTTTGTATTTGGCAACAGAAATGAATCTAAATTTGAAAATAAAAATAAACCATGCTTTGCTTGCCTCATCCCAAAAACTTCAATATGAAGACCTTGATGTCCTTCAATTTGTCCTAATAGATGGATACCCCACGTTCTTATTTCAACAAGATATTGCAAAATTTGATCAAAGGATGTATGAACCTCTTTATGTGCATCCTGCCATATTAAAAATGATCCATCTCATGCATATGTGGCAATTTTAAGTAAGTCTCCTCATGATTTTTTAGTCATGTCTTTATGATCAAAAGAATTTTCATGATATAAAAATTTATAACCTTGGTAGATTCGGGTCTGGGACACTTTACCAACACCCACTTTACTGACAAGACACTTTACCAACAACACACGGGGTTACATTTAATCTCTACAAATAAAACAAACTAACAAAATGCTAAAATATCACATCGTGTGTTGTCTGGGTCCGGGTAGATTCCTACAAGGTCCATTTTGAATTTTTTCCTCCTTTCTGAAGTGGACATCCAAGATCACATCACAATTTAACAGCAACACTGTTATATTCCCCACTAATGTACAATAAGTGTTAAATGTTTGTGTATAATAATAAAATAAACAAAAATAAAGAACATTTACAAAGTAATTTTTAAATAATTGCATATAATTTTGGTTAAAGGCACCAGGTGGTTTACTCCAGCATCACTTTCAAGATTTTCTTCCAACTTCGATTCAAAAAGATCACAACTGTAAAATAAATTTAGTTCATGTAAATATGGGATGGATCACAGCTATATAAACCTAATAGATAAGAAAAGAAACAGTTACTTCTGATACTACTACTATCATTCAAGGATTACAAAGGGAAAATAGAACTGATTAAAAAAAATTATTTAATTGGATTGGATAGTGCATATACTATTACTATTACTATTACTATCTATCAGTTATTTATTAACTGGCAAATTCAAATAAAATGAATATAAAAATTTCATATGATTAAATTAACTAGTTAACTGGTGCCAACCTCTAATCAATGCCAAGTCCATCCGTTGCAATTAATAGTCCAATACTTCAGTGCCAGAATAATTTTCAAACCCAAATTACATGTATATATTTTAAAAAAAGATCTTTATATATGAAAATTCTTGTTATATCTACATACACTTAATTTCACAAATCTTTTTTTTTTTTAAAATGACAATTATCGAAATCATTACCATTCAAGAACAATTAAAGAGCATAAATAAAGAGTTAACAGGAGTAAAAGAGGAGTTGAATGCACTCCTCCATAAACGCGTGGTCTAAAGGGAATGAACTTATTGAGGATTGACTGTATTGTAAATTCAGTATACAAAAATAAAAAATATATTTTTGAAAATTTCTGATGATTTTTATAATATCATTAGTGATGATATATAAAACTGTATATATTTTTGAAATATATTAATAATTTGAATTGAATGATGACAATAAAATATAAATGCATAAAAAAGTTCAACAGTCCAATACCTAAGTCCAAACTGATTTGGTCTGCAGGTCCATTTAGACCAGTCCAGAAGTTTTAGGGGAGAGATAACATACAACAGCATCAGATATATATGGTTTTGGGAGTTCAACCTTTTAATAATTTGGCACATGATGCAGATCTTGCAGTGAAACTAAAAGTGAAAGTGTAAGACCTGGATTTTCAAACAACGTACCAAAATTCTATATTGAACTAGCATTCCGATACATGGATACTAATCCAGATAAACGTTCAACCGCTGGGGAAATTCATAATTTTATTGATTTTTGGTATTATTTATTTGGATGTTACATAATAGATTAGGATAAAAACAGCAGGATGAATTAAAATCAATTAGAAAAGAATTCAAGGAAATAGAATTTATACTTCAACAATTACTGCAACAATTTATCCAAACGCTGTTTACACTAGCAGATTATTAAAATTTACAAGCCTTTTCCAACCTGTGAATTCCAATGAGTAACAATTATTAGTAATAATAATGGTAATTATTAACATTTAAGCACTGATTATTTTCAATTTTATTAATTTTTAAAATTTATATTTATTGATATACAGCAGATTGAATCAACTTTACCAGATTAATTATTCGAATAAGTTAAATCTTGTCATTTTATTATCTATTAAGATTTTACTTGCTTGGCTACTATACAGTCAGCACTCAATATAGTGAATTGTATGATATAATGAAGTTGGGAAATTTCATTATATATAAATCCAGCTCGATATAATGATTTTTAATATAAACTCTCCATATAATGATACAGTGAAGTTTTTTGCCAAAAATCAATCCTTTCATTTATATCGAGTGCTGACTGTAGTTGTGATGTTAAATGCAAAATTATATATAATTAATTATTTATATATAAAGATAAGAACTTTTTATTTTTAAAATATAAATTCTTCTGTTAAATATTTATTTATATTAATAATATATGTAATAGATAGAATGTAAAAAGGTTCTGGTAGTAAAGGTAATAATAATTGATTAATGTTATATGCAAAAGTTATCTATACAAAATTTGGCGTTTATTATTGCTAGCCAAATTTCTTGAGAAACTAATTGCCAATTGAAAATTTTCCAATTCACCATTATTTACATTGATAGTTTTATAGTCCTTTTCTAAAAGAAACTGATGTTAAATTCAACAAAATTACCATTATTGTGGCTTATCTACTTTTTTTCCACCATTTCAGCCATTATTGATTCTTTCATTTCAGCCATCGATTTGTTCATTTCTTCCTTTTGAGTTTCTTTCATTTCGGCCATTTCTTTCTTTTGAGTTTCTTTCATTTCAGCCATTATTGATTTTTTCATTTCAGCCATTGATTTGTTCATCTCTTCCCTTTGAGTTACTTTCATTTCAACCATTAATTTGTAGATTTCGTATTCCATTGTATGATTTTCATCCCCTTTTTCATCTTCTTCTAGATCTCCATCTACGTATTTACGCAGGTAACATTGAGTGATTGTTGTTGAAGTAGCCAGAAAGTCTCTAGGTGCTGGCTCCTTCTCTGTAAAGAAGGACACATTTCTTGTTAAAGAGAGGACCAGTATAAACATGCATGCTTTGACAAAGTAAAAATCGATTGGCCATTTTAGCACAATAAATAATGTTTGCAGAATATTCGAGAGATAAAAGAATGAAGGATAAATTATACAAAAAATACTTCGTTCAAGTAGTGCTTGTCGAAACCTATTTAAATTATTAGACACATCACTAAGAGAATCTAGTATAAAAGGAATGGGCACTAAAACTAACAATATTCCAAATGATGTAAGGAATACTAGACTAATTGGGTCAAAAAGATATCTAGTTGCAACAATAACAATCCAAAATGTTGGAATGACTATAGCTGGGAAAGTCATCAAGAATCCATGGATTAAACCAAAATTGGGATTATCGCCAACTTTTTTATACTGAGTTATCGCGCCTATTGCACAAATTAGATGCAAACCCATGTTTACAATTGAAAATATCTTTATACCCAGCAAATCATCATAGGAAAAAGAAACTATCAGTGGAATCGCCCAAGTGATAGTGTTGTATAATATGTCATCCAATAATGGTAACATTATATTTTTGATGTGTCCAGATTCCCCTGAAACATTGGTCAAAATGACAAAGAAGACTGGAAAAAATGTGTTAATAATTGCATCGTACACATCCTCTTCAGATCTATATTCTTCGTCAACAACAAATGCAGCCACAAGTGAAAGGAGTGAAAATAAAATGATTTTCCACAAGAGAAACTTCAAAAAACTTGATTCCACTTGCTTGCTTTGGTTGAAGAGAAAATAATTATTCATATCGAATAATATGATAAAATTTCTCCCATATAAATAATTATTTATAGAGAATGTATACCCAAGCAATGGTGATTAGTGTACGTTAATATACGGAATCAGTGAATTATTTTCTTTTATGTGTAATTATTATGCAGTAAAGCAAACTTTATTTTGATTAATAAAAAAGGCAATGTATTTCACTTTGCCGTTTTTGTAAAATAACAATAATACTAACACTAATAGTCGAACATTAAACGATTGGGAAGTGTATTTTCCGAAATTTTTTGGTGATCAACATCGAAATTCTATTAATAAAATTAACCACAAACCTTAATTTTAACCCTTTTTTGTTCAGCAATCTTCACCGAATTCGAGACACAGATTTTTTAAGACTTATTCCTTCTTTTTAAAAAAAATTAGGAGAGATTATTAATAAAATAGTAAAAAATCTTGGTGTTAAAGTTTGTCGACCAAATTACCGCATTTGGAAATTAATTATCTATTTTTGGTCATTATTCTGATAATCTCCTGATAATCTCCTGCCTATATTTTTTCCTTTTTGTGCATTGATAAATAAATTTATCAAAATTTAATATTTTTTTGGAGTTTTTTGCCATTTTCACTAAACTTTAATAAACAACAATATAAATCAAACGACTGAGAAGAAAAGTAATTGGCAAAAAAAAAAAAGCTCTGCTTGTTCCAAATAAAGAACAATTGAAAAACCAAAATCGTATATTGAATAGCAATCTGTTTGATAATTTACACTTTTAGACTTGCCTTTTGTTACACTGGTTTTTTTAGGTAACGTTGACATCATCAACAACAACAACGTCACTAACGATAGTTACAATATTACAAAGGGTTGATTTTCCTTTTAAATAGTTTAATGATAATTAATATTAATATTACATAATAATAATAGGAGATAAAAAATATAATATCTATATATTGTTTGTCTGCCTAAAATTTTTATATGGCACGCATTAATGAATTGAAGTTATATGTTTGATCATTCATTTCAGGAAATATAGTGATTTTTGCAGTCAATCAACTCTTTGGTTTTCTCTCTCTTGGTAGCAGATAAAACAATATCACTTCTTTTTGCTTCGTTGTTTCATCCACTGCAAAGGAAAGTTTTTATAACAGTCAGAACATTTCATCCACATAAAGCTATACCTATATGAAAGCTTACAATATTTTACATCTTTTCAACCACTCACCAAGTTTATAAAGGTAATATTGGTAAAAAATCTTAGCTTTGAAATAAAAAGTAATGCCGTTTTTGAATAAACGTAGCTTGACATAGAGAGCCTCTATCAATATGGGAAAGGGCTCATTAGAAAGCTATAATGTCATAGTTTTATTTTTGATTAATAATGATGTTTGAGTTTGTTATAAAAATAATTAGATATTTTAAAAAACTGGTTTGTTACACGAGTCAGATTTTCTATTTTATATATGTAATTACACTTCCTGTGACATATCGTTTGACTGGTAATATAATCCTTTATCTTTTAAAACGTTTCCCGTGTCAGATCAGACCAGATCATACTTCCTTGAATTCAGTATATAATAGTGAAAAATGCCAAAAAACTAGACGATGCATACTTTGTAAAGAAACTAAAACTGAAAATTTTAGAACAATAAATGAAGGAAGGAGGCAACAAGGTAGTCGTTCTATAATTATTGTTAAATCAATAGTTTTGTATTATATATTTTATTTATATATCTGTTCTTATTATTAGATAAATAAATGAATGCGGATAATAGAAACGAGGTAAGCTGTTCTATATATAAATTATAAATCAATAGGACACACAAAAGAAACAAGGTTGTTCTATAATTATTGCTAAATTAATAGTTTTGTATGATATCTTTATTTACATATTTATTTATTTATTATTTGATAAATAGGAAAGAAACAAACAATTGATAATTTTGTATAATATATATATCTATTTCGTGGATAATAATAATTTTGTATAATATGTATATATCTATTTCGTGGATAATGATAATATATCTATTTCATAATGGTTGTTCTATAATTATTGTTAAATTAATGGCTATTATTAGATAACATGAATAAAAATTTGCTTCTAATATCTATTTGATAAAAACTTGTATATTTTTATAATTGGTTAAATACTGGGCTAGCAAAATATGTGCAACAATTTAGTTGAAGCTTCCTTTCCTCTACATATATAAAACTTTTGTGTAATTTATTCGGGCCAATCAAATTTCGTGATAAAATCAAAATATGATCGACGAAAATCATTACCAATTTGCAAATATCCGCCATTGGGGTGTTAAATATCAGCATAAACACAAACATAGTTGTGAGGATTTTTTATTGGGAAAATGCAGATCAATTTAACAAATAATAATAACAATAATATCGTTCATTGTAAATTTTCTTATAAATATTCTCCTAAAATTGCTTTTGCTGCTTCTTCTCCAAAATTCTCTTCACTAATTTCATTGCCTGTAATTAAGTTCATCACGCGTAACTAATTTCATAATTATGTATTATGTGTTACATTTTTGTGATATATACTTCTTTAAAATTAAAAAAGCTTCAAATATACAAAAACACTAATTTTTATATTCATGATCATAATAACCTGAGCTACCAAATAATGTAAATTTCATACAAAGTCATTATGTAAAATTTTGCGGAATTTTTGAAAAAATGCGTTTGAATACTTTTTAGATTAGAAATGTGATGATCTTTCTAAAATGGATTTCATATATATATATATCTACGAAATTTTCAAAGTCTATCTAGTCCACCAATTCTTTTTCTAGAGTTATAAAATTAGTATCAAATAAAAGTTTGGAACATATTCTTCCACTTAAAGGTTTTAGATTTTTAAAAATTTTATTAAAATTTTTTTCTATTTTTGTTTAAAACTTTTTTTTGCATACAACTTTTTTTTATAAACAAAAAATTAAAAAAATAAAACCTTTATTATGAAGTATATGTTATTTAGTACTTATATACTAATTTTAAACAGAGGTCTATTTGATAAGTATGGAGGAGATAGAGTTTGAATTTTGTTTATTTTTTATATTAAAATTTTTACATCTATTTGATCAGCAAAAAATCCGCATATATGATTTTTTATATATGTGGTCAATTATGTTTGTATTTATACTAATGTGTAACACCCCAATCCGCCATGCTGTGTTATTATTATTGTTTTCAAAATCCAGGTGTAGATCTGGTTTAAAATTGTTGAAGTGAAAAAGGAAATTGATAATATTGATGTTTTCGTCAAATATTTCGAGTGTAAGAAATTAGCATGTGCAGTATTAACATTTTACGTATAAATTTAGTATTTTGGAAATTACGCCAAGCAATGGATTTCCCAGAATGCGCTTAAAATATGTAAATTTTTGTTGCAGATAATTTTCATATTTGGTTAGTACATCTCCGCAACCGCAATAATTATTTATAGTCTTCCTATTTAACGACTTAATTTGGAACATGGAAGAAAAATTTTTCTGTCTTGCGTTCAACTTTCATTTCATCATCTAGAGAAAGTAAAATGCTAATATTAATAATACTAAACGGAAATTCAATGTTATTGTTATGTGGAGGTTTTTTGTTTTCGTTAATTTGTTACGTTAAAGCTCGAGAAGTTGATGGCAGTGATAATAATTTAAACCAATATTCGAAATTTGGTACTTCAATTCAACCTTTTCAAAGGAATTTCCCTCCTCAACCTTTTTACGGGTATTTTTCAGAAAAATTCTTCAATTAATAAATTAATACACAAAATTATCTTTATTAAAAGACTATTTTTTTTTAATTCCACATGAAAATAGACCAGATGGAAGTTCAATGATCAAATGTCCATCCGATATTGTTTTCACTGATCCAACTAAACCAATTCCAAACTGCACTGATCCACTTCCAATTGACAATTTCCCAATGCCAAGGTGCATTTCAAATATAATAAATAATTATCGCACAGAAAAATTTAATATTGGACAGAGATTAGGTTATCAATCTAAAAGACATACTAGCAATATGGTAAATAATTTTTTTAATTAATTTTTATATAATTGTTATTATGAAATTATTTTATTAATTATTTTTTAAAAATACAGGCAACCTTTTTTTCTTATTTCATTTCATCAGATATAATTCAGTCGAATACGTCTATAGCATCAATTCCTATCTACATACCATCCGACGACTCAATCTACAATCCACCAACAGGTCAACTTAATAATACCCAAAAAAAATTCCTTGGATTTAATAGAACAGAACCAGTTGACAACTTAAGAAATGGACTGAACCATGTCACGCCGTTCCTTGATTTGAATCAATTGTATGGACTTAGCAAAGAGGAGTCTACTCAATTACGTGATATTGGTAATCGAGGAAAGTTAAAGATTGATAAGAATAATCAATTCTATCCGATGAAAGATCCAACTACCGGTGATTACATCTTGGGACAATTTTCTAATCAAACAAATTATATTTTCACATTGGCAATCCATGTTATTTGGTTACGTGAACATAATAGATTGTGTGATCAATTATACATAAAATATGGTGACTCGTGGACTGATGATCAATATTTTGAAGAAGCTGTAAGTTATAATGTTGATAAAAATATTGATTATGATGATTATTTATTTATAAATCATCAATTGATTTTTTATTTTATTATATTTAATTAGAGAAGATGGAATATTGCATTTTATCAAAAAGTAGTAGAAGAAGAGTATTTTGGTACTATCCTTGGTAGATCACTGCCACAATATGAACGATATGACGAGAGTTTAGTGCCAGGAATTGACGTTTTCTTCGAAACGATAACATTCAAACATAGCCACAGTGAACTTGGGTAAGCAATTAATTTAATTATCATAATCCTAATAACAATTAACTATGTAAACTAATGACATTATAATTCACATTTTCTTATCGATGATAGCAATAAGTATCGTTTACAAGATGAATATGGTGACATAATTGAAGATTTAACATTGGATGACATTTTGACAGTTGGATTGTTGGAAAAATTTGGAATAGAAAAGATTTTGAGATCAATGTCCCTACAAGTTCAAGAAGATTCAGATATTTATTATTCTGATGCTGTCAGAAATTATAAAACTATTGAGCAACTTAGTTATGATATGGCAGCTTCCAGTGTTTTAAGAGCCAGAGACAGAGGTATGGCTGAATTTTTGTGTATGTTTATATATTTGTATGTTTGTATAATATGAGGTAATGTTAAGGTAATTAAAAAAATTTGTAGGAATTGCTTTATATAATGATGTTCGCCAGGCATATGGTTTAAAAAAGAAAGATTCATGGGCAGATATAACTTCAGTTAAAGCATTGCAAGATTATCTAAAACAATTGTATCCTAATGGACCTAATCAATTGGAAGCTTTTGTTGGAGCAATGGTTGAAGATCATTTGGACGGATCAAATTTTGGTGAATTGTTGGACACTAGTATGGTCACCCAGGTATACATTTATTTATAAAACTTTAAATTATATAATTAATTTACTCACTCACTTTATCATTTGATAATTTATTTATAGTTTGTGCATATTAGAAATTCAGATAGATTTTGGTATGAGAATAGTATCATGTTTACAGATGATGAAAGGGAAATCCTTAGACACACAACATTTAGAGATATTATTGTACGTAACCTGCCAGAAGATTATCAATCATTTATCCCACAAAATATTTGGATGGTTCAACCAGTGGCATCCACCGAACCTTTATCACCTGATTATGAATATCCAAATGATATTTCTATGTGGCCACTATATAATGTCAAGTATAGCATCGATGATTATTCTATTTCTTTCAAAGTTACTTTACAAACTAGTGATGGTAAAGGATGGTTTGGAATGGTAATTTGTTATTGTTATTATTATTATTATTATTATTATGGTAATAATGAATAAACTTGAGGAGGTGGAATTCACAAATTTTTGTTATTTTTTAGGGATTTGATCCTGATGATGATGGAATGAATGGGGCAGATTTTGTTATTGGAACTGTAAGATTCTCATTATATTTACTTTATGACCTCACAACTCAAATAAATAAATTATTTAAATTTTTATAGATAGGAGAGAATAATACTTTTGACTTATACAATTATCATTCAGCTGGTTATCATAAACCTGTTCTTGCCGATGATTCAGATTTAACAATAATTAGTAATCCACCTCTTAAAGATAATTTGGCAACTATTGAATTCTCAAGACCGTTATTGCCTAATGGAAAAAAAGGAATTAAGAAAGGACTTGTTAAATGTATGATTTTTTTTTTGGTCAAGTGTAAATATTTTGGTGCTAATAATAATAATAATAATTGATTACTTTATTGATTATGTGGTTTTCTTTTAGATATCATGGCTTATAATCCTGGAAGGTAGAGAGTTATTATAACATGATGATAACTAATAATTATACTAATAATATTAATAATAAATTTATCATTATATTAATATATAAATAGTTCGCAGTTTTCTTATCATGCGAATAATCGTATAATGATTACGATCGATTTTTATCAAAAAAAATTAGAATTAGAAGAAATATCATTAACTCAACAAAGAGCAAAACTTTTCCATGGAATTGCAATGGGTTTAGCCTGGGGGTAATTTCTCAATTGGTTATCAATTATCATTTGACTTGGCGATCTATAACACAACTCATACATTTTTATTTTTTGCTACACATAAACATAACATAAAAACAGTGTAGTGTTTCCAATATCAATTTTTATAGTTAGATTTTTTAAACATACAAATCACTATGTCAAGGTCCATCGATTTCTTCAGATAGCAGGTGGAATAAGTGTTGGAACTTTTGGAGCAGCAGTAATATCAGTGTCTATGGCAGATAATCCTCATACACTGTAAATTTAAATTCAATTATGAAAATATATACATATATGCATATCATTTTAATAACCAACCTATTAATAATCTAATAAATCTTATGTTTATCTAGAGTAGGATTGACGCTTTATTTCTTAGTATTTCTACAACTAGCAATTGGAATAACTTCAATATGGAGCCAAGCATATTTAGTATCAGTAAATATAGGTTATTTTAGGTTGTTTAAAAGAAGTCATAAATATTTAGGGGCATCCTTATTAATTATTGCATGGTTTAATATTTATCTTGGTTAGTAGAATTAATTTGAGATTGGATTTTTTTTTTTATCATGGTTTATATTTTTAATATAAAAATTAATTGTATATTACAAATATACTATTTATTTATTAGGCATGGATACCTATGGTTTATTATATGGAGAGTAAGTATAAATATCAAGATTAATATTTCTTTTTTATGAATTAATAATAATCAAGTATTATTTTTATTCATTTTAATTGTAGGGATTTAAAGATATATAAAATAATATACATTGTTTGGATATCTTTAATCATATTATCATTTATAAATTATGAAATTTTATATAGTCTAAAACTCAAAAAAAATAAAATAAAATATATTAAATTAAAAAACAATCATGATGACAATGACAATGAATCTGGAAATGATGGTAAAAAACCGATTGTAGTTGATCATCTTGGTCGTGAAAAGTATGCAAGTTTACCAGATTTTACGTTGGATGAATTTAATGATAAAGTTCAAAAAGGCGTAAGTTTTTTAATAAAGTGGGTTGGATGTAGGAAATTAATTAATAGGATTTAAAGCGTTGGTTGATGTTATTATTATTAATATATTGATTGTATTATTTCAGGCACATTTAGTAATTTGTGATGGGTTTGTTGTTGACATAAGAAATTGGTTGACTAGTCATCCAGGAGGAGCGAAAATATTAGAAAATGTAATTGGAACTGACATTACTGATGGTAAAAACTCAATGATTTCTTTTATATTTTTACTTGACAGATAAACTAAAATTGAATATATTTAATATTAGATTTTTATGGAAAAAATACTATTGATGGAACAATTAAACACCAGTCTTTTTTTTATACTCCTCCTTCAGTAATAAAACCAAACCGAAAATCAGGCTTTGGTATTATTGAAAAGATCGACAAGTTACCAATTGCAGCATTAATTGATGATTTTAATAGGGGGAATACTATTAAATCTCCATTAGCAGTTCATTCTCATAGTTACATTGCAACCAAAAAAATGTCAAAAATGATAATAGCAAAATATATTGATCAATCCAATGACAACGATATCAAAGATCCAATATTTCATAAATTTAAATTTATAAGATTTAAACTAATTGACAAATCAATAATAAACAATAGTAAAGAATTCCCAATCATCAAATTTGTATTTGCCAGTAATAATAATAGGAAAAGTGGCGATACCGATTTGGATTATTTGCCCGGACATTATATTGAAGTTCAGGCAAAAATTAAAGGTCAAGTAGTGATTAGGAATTATACACCAATTGATGGAAAAATAATGAAAAGTTTTTCCATTATAGTAAAGATTTATCCAAATAGTCTGATTTCAAAATATTTAAACAGCCTATTAATTGGATTTGAACTTCAAGCAAGAGGTCCATTTGAACTTGGTAATAGAATATCATCATTATCAACTCATACAACACCAATAGAACTTCAAGCAAGAGGTCCATTTGAACTTGGTAATAGAATATCATTATTATCAACTCATACAACACCAATAAAATCACCAATAACAACAGGATTTCTTCAACAAACATCATCACAAAATGATATTAATGTTCCAGCTATACCACCAACAGTAACATTAAACAATCCCCTTCTATTAAATGTTATCAGTAATAATGATTATATTGATGTTAATAACAACAATAATAATGGATGTTGGGATAATTTATATATGATATGTGGAGGAACTGGAATTACACCAATGATTCAGGTAAGAAGTTTTAAAAAATATATAGAATTAATAATTTGGTAAACTTTATTACTAATTAATTTATATTTTTTTTTAGTTAATAAAATATCATTTAAAGCATTTTAATTTTAATAATATGGATAATGGGAATAGATTATCAATGCATTTATTATATGGTAATAAATCTTTTGGTGACCAAATACTAAATTTAAAAGAGCAATATATGGAGCCACTTTATGAAAAATGCATTTATGATCTTTCCATAATCGATAGCGTATTATCTGTTGTATATGTATTTAATGAGCTTTCTCCCAGTAATGAAGAAGAAGAAGGAGAATTACAGCAGATAAAATCAGCAGCATTGGAAGGAAAAATTGACAAAAAAATTTTAAAAAATTGGTTTAAAGATATAATTATAAATAATGAATCGAAATCGGGGGAGGGAAAAGCAGAGAAAAGGACGAGAGATTCATTCGATAATGTTATTCCTGAAATTTCTAACAATCAATTACGATCGTTTTCGCCAAAAACGCCTCCATCAAATTTCTCTAAACAATCAGATTCCTCAACTGATAAACTACAAGAAGATCAAATAGAAGAAGATCAAACAGCAGAAGATCAAACAGCAGATGAAGAATTAAATAAATTTATTAGAGATTCGTTAAATAAACCTAATAGTAAAATATTTGTGTGTGGACCAATGAAAATGATGAATAAAATTGGAGGCATTTTATCAAATGATCTAAAACTTAATATAAATGATGATTATATTTTGTTGATGTGATTAATATTATTTAATTGGGGTTTGGATTAGAATCAGAATTCAATATTATTTATTTAATTGGGGTTTGGATTAGAATTAGAATTCAATTATAATTTTAATAAATCTACATATCAATATTAATATAAGTTGTATTCATTATGAGTTACCGTAATCAATCATGTTTACGGGATTATTTATTATAATTTCGAAATACATAAACGTCATTATATATAACAAACGTATTTCATATCATCAAATGTTTTGAATAATATCAAAGTGCACCATATTCGGATGAAATTAGAATGATTATATCGAATAACTTTATGATAATATGCTAACTGTATTTAAAGTTAATGTGTTCTATATCCAAAAACTAAATCTTCTCATTATCCCTGTCTGCACGGTTTTGATAATAAACGCATGTGTATGTACAATTTAAGCATACAGTCAGAACTCGGTAAGATAAAACGAATGTACACGATAAACCGATGTTTTTTTATCATCACCCACCTATTAAAATTTATCTCTGTAAGCCGTTTTCATTTAAGATTCTTCATTGTGAAAACATTGACTTATTAAACATATCAATATGGGATATTCACAATTGTCATGGGACAGACCTCAATCCTACCATTCCAGAGACACTAAAATTTCGTGATGTCATCAATATTAAAGAATTTCTCTTCAGGTGTTGTAAAGTCGATAGGAACAAAGGTTTAGATACACTCAACATATAAAACGATATTAAGCTACCATTCGATATTGTTTTTATCAGAACTCATGAAAATACAGTAGATTAAGTAGACGTTATGTTTTACTATATAAAAATACAAAATAATTCGATTTAAGAGATATCGTCTTTGCAATATTAATATTATTAAAAGTTGACAAGAACCTGCAATCTAATTTGTATTCGACCAATTAAATTATGAATTGTGATTTTTGTAAATTAATTATGTTACCACGCACACCCAACCCGTATTTCAATTACGTAACGGTAACAGTAAATTATTCTTGTACAGTGCGGATCACCTATACGCAAGAGTTAAAATATTATGTGATCCACTGGATTTTAAAAAAACCACCACCATTCAATCCAGCTTTAAAAGGAAATCAATTCATGTAAAAATTTTGTCTCGAATTCTTTTTCGTAACAGTAGATTTTTTAAATTTGAGAGTTATGCTCAGAAATAGGACCAGGAAAACTCTATTGTATGTGACCGCCAAATTAAATGACAAATAATATTAATGCGAATCTTAGTTTTTTATAATTATACGAATCGATTTTCCGAATACATTTAAAAAATTATTAATATTAATGAATACGAATCAAATAGCTTACATGTGAAATTTATCTTTATTAATTAAAAATATTTAAAAGGAAGTTTTGTGTACTTGGCATATTAAAATGAATATAAATTAAAAATGAACTGCAATCAAACAAGGACTAATGTCATTGATATTAGAGTAAAAACGTAATCCCAAAAAATAAAACTACTTCTCGTGGCGTAATATGAATTGTAATGTCTCCTGGTAAATTTTCACGTGAAAGATACCGTTAATATAAATGAATGATCTCAAAATCCTATTATTACTCTCAGAATGTCTTTTAAAGTTTGCAACTTGATAATTGACTCAAATAATTTGATCGCATTTGCAAATAACTTTTTTTGGCATTGACAGATTCTTGAAAGTTGAGGCATGTAGTAAAATATTGTTGGCATGAATCGTGAGGAATTCTTTTACAATTATAGTATGACCGATGACATTTTTCATTTCTCTATATTAATATTTGCGAATCAGTGTAACCGAGGACATTATTTCCTTCGAATCATTATTTGCTATTACAGTCAGACTCCTATATAATCACAACGTCGGGAATGCGAATTGTTGATGATTATGACTGAATGTGACTATATAGGATTTCTCTTATATAATCACTTACTATGTAATTTAAATCTTTTATTTTATTTAACATCCCAAGTAGATAGATATATGTATAAAAAAAATAAAAGAATATAATAATAATTATATAAAAAACAACAACGATGGTTAGGCCATTTGCACTGACTTGTCCAATCCATATGTTCATTGCCTTTTCTAGTTCAGGAAACCTCACTTGTCTACAGCAAAAAGCATTATGATGGGTTATAGACGAAGCATCCAACCATTTTTCTTTATCAAGTAAAATTTTTGTTACTGATGACCTATCAATATTCAATGAAATTTTTTCACTAAAATAATTTGCAATTTCATGATGAGTTTTCTGAATATTTTCTTGGAAATATATATAAATTTCCCTTTTCAATTTCTCACTAATAGCTGTATGTTTTTGTTTTTGTTTTTTGGTTGAGACATGTTAATGATAATGATAGTAATGATAATAACAACAATAATGGTAATGGTAATTACAATGTCCAATGGTAACAATTTATTAAAATTCAAAAATTCAAAAATTCACAAAAAATTTTTCAATTAGCCAATAATATTTACATGAATTGGTGATTATATATGATGAAATTTATATATGTTTTAATATGTTATGGAACTGTCAAATATCGATGATAGTGATTACAATGATTACAATATGAAAGTGACTATATATGATTAATTTTAATATAAAAAAAAACGGGAATAAAAAATATGTGACTATATAGGAGTTGTGATTATATTGGATGTGACTGACTATATAGAAGTCTGAATGTATATAAAGGTGACCTTTTCCATCTTCCATTAATCGAATTTATGACTTTTTTTTAAAAAAAAAGTACGGACGGACACTTTCAATAATTATAATTTTCGTATTACAATATTTTTGGTAATGATTTTCTTTTGATATGTTCGTTATTATTATATATATATACACATTGGATTTTTAAAAACCCACCACCATTCAATTCAGCTTTAAAAAGGGAGTCTATTAATTTTAAAAAAAATTTGTCTCGAATTTTCTTCATAGATTTTTAAATTTGAAAGTTATGCTCAGAAATACAACAATAATTTTCGTGTTACAATATTTTGAATCTCACGACCAAATTTGATGATGATTTTCTTTTAATGTAATATGTTCGTTAAACTTTTTTGTTGTAAATAACTTTTTATTTATTAATAAAAAAAAGAAAATGAATAAATCAAATAAATCAAATGTATGTTGTAGAAAATATTCTATGAAAAAAAAGTTGTTACACAAAATTTACTTAGTCTCAATTTCTTAAATGTATAACAAATTCGGAATTTTCAAAATGCTAAGGCTCACCCAATTTTCGGTTTAAGAAAAAAGCACCCGATAAGTTTTGAAGCTTGATAATTTTTTTTGTTTTAGTATTTTGAAGTTGACCAATTGTAAGCAATTAATGATTATAGATGATCTGCGCCGTAGTGTACCTAATTTTTTACGAATACTAATACTAATACAGTCAAACCTCGTTACAACGGATCTATGGGACTGACCACCTAGACGAGATAATGATCTACAGGATCGACAGGAAAATTTTAATAATAAAAATTTTTTTTTAATGATTTAAATATAAACCTTCATACTAGAATTTTGTCAATTAGAAATAAAAAGGAATTTGATTATTTTGAAAAAAACAAACCAAATATGTAAATTTCTCTAATAATTGATATGACAATATGCTTCAAAAATTTTATATGTTATAACCTAAGATCCTCCAATTCTCTGGTATAATTTTTATCATATAATTTTGGCTACCTTTTCATTAAAAACAATATTTTACAAACCGTCTTTTTTTCTTAACACACTGTAAATCAACAGTCTATAATGGATTCACGTGATCTAAAATACAGATTTCTACAAATTTAATCTTAAAAATCTCAAGAACAACAAGATTACTTAAATCTTAATAAATAAAATATAATGTAGAAAACAAATAAAATGTATAATTGAATTTCTTGATTTAAATCCGCCTAATTCAAGTTCCAAATCAATTTCTTTTGCTTCGTTATTTTTTAAAATATCATTAAATAAGAGAAAATCTTTAAGTTTATTTAGCAAAGCAGACGACTCTGATTCCAACAAACAAAGAATTAGCAACAACTTAAAAAAAGTCAAAAAATAGCATTTTATTCAAAATACAACCTAAATTAGATGATTTTTTTAATATTAACATTGAATAGTAATTTTTTTTTTTAAATAAAACATTTAATTTTGTGTTTCGTCAATATTAAAATTGCACGCGACTTCATATCGACGATTTTTCTATACTAATACCGGATTATCGATATTTTTTTTAATTCCAATGATCCGAAATAGAGAAAATGAACTGTATTCTACATATTTTATTGAATCACAGGGATATATTAATATGAATAACAATAATTAACTTTTTTTGTTGTTCTTTTGATGGGTGTCTAGAATTTTCATAAGGCAATGGTTTAGAGGTTGACACCGTTAACTGTTTAACCGGTTAATTTAGGCGTTACAAAATTTTATTTTTGTTCATCTAACTAGAATATATGGGCATGGACAATAGAAACAGCCCAAACGTCAAAATCACGATTTTTAGATAATCGAAAAAAAAGACCTGCATTTAAGTAATTACCTATTGTTTTTCAAAATTTTATTAAGCAAAGTGGATATGGGTTTCTAAGCTAAAATTAATCTCTGTAATAAATTGCATGTAGAAATGCTGTTAACTCAAAATCATGATTTTTGACGTTTGGGTCGTTTCTATTGTTCATGCCCATATATACATACCAAAACATAATCTATATTAATATACAGTATTTGCGTGTAATAATGAAATAAACGCTGACGGCTCTAGAGTTTCCAGCCGCTCTAGAGAGAGTATCAACCTTTACTTTTTCTTTTAGGTGAGTTTATGGTTAGAGTTTCTATTCGTAATACAGACACTTATTCGAATTACTCGTAATACAACTCAATCTTAATATTAATATCAATTCGTTATTTATTCGTTGTTCGTTTTATTCGTTATTCATTTTATTTGAATAAACATTCAATGTAATTTGAATACTCAACCCGTAACAAATGTAATAAATAATTTTTATTCGAATAGAAATCCTACAATGACTATTTGCCAGTAGAAAAAAAAATAAATCACTATTATTATTATCACTACAACTATTATTATAAATTGATCAAAGAAAAAAATTTCAATTATTTCCGCTACCACTACTACTATTATTATTATCACTAAAAGGTCAATGAAGTAAAATAGAACTAATAAAGAAATTTTTTTTTAATTCGATTGGATAATATCAGTTATATTATTCGAATAATTTTTTTTTATTCGAATTTACCAGTTAAATTTTTCACGTGACAAATTAACCGGTTAAAGAATTTTGCACGGTGCCAATCTTCACTACAATGGTTTGATTATAAAATATGTGAATGTTGCTGAGGCAGAATTTTTTAGGTCCTGTTCTTTCCAAATGTTAACGTTTTTTTACCTATTAACAAAATTAGTAATCACCAACAGCAAGTCAACCAACCAATCAACCAACCAGTTAATCAATGTGTCAGTTGTCATCAATCCCAACAAAGCAAAAAAAAACAAAAAAAAAACAAAAGAAACAAAGTAACAAATGCAACAACGCTAAATAGCGACAAATTAAATAATAAATAAAATTGAAAATAAATTATTAAAATTGATTTGATTATATTTGTTTCGATAATAAATAATAAATAGAAATATAAATAATAATGTAAATGATAAATTTAAACCCGAATTCACTATAAAAAAAAAAGAACAGTTTTATTGATTGGTGCATTTTACCGGGTGGTCATCCATGCCTTTCAAGTCACGTTTGAATATTTGAATAACTCGGCTGCAATATTATCGGTTATTATCAGATTGCACGTGAATTTGATTGACATGCAACTTTAATTTAAAACTACCCAAATTTGGCCAATAAATAAGTCGCTCTTTTTAAAATTACCGCTCGTTGAAATTTAAAAAAATTTTTAGTAATTAATTAATTTGTTTATTAATGGGAAAAATCTTTTTAAGGGCAAGAATAATAATAATACACAATTAATATATATATATAAAGAGTCAATATGATGCAATAGTAATTTGTTAATATTAACCATTGTTCTGATTTTTGATTTAATTTAATTGTTGTAATGCTTTTATGGAAATCTGCATTTTATATATATTTAATTGAACCAATCAAAAATAAACGTAATTAAAAACAAAAAAAAGCCGTTAATTACATTTCACTATAATTGTTTATATCATAGTTATGATAGATTATGCTATTATTCTTTTAAATAAACTGCTGTTCGTGCCAATTGACCTTGAATTACAGATTAATTCTCGTACTCGCCCACCCAATCAGTCCATATCAATGAAACACAAACATCGTCATTCAAGTTTCATGGCATTTGATTGGTACGGGATTCTTTAATCGCCAATTACTCTACCGAGAAGGCAAATTTCAACAAAATATTATTATTTTTATGCAATAAATCTTTTAAAGGACGTTTTCAAAAAATTCTTGTAGCATTAAAATTTTTTTTGTGTCACGTATGACCGCAACACAAAAAATATTTAAAGCTATCTATATACATGGGATTTACATATAGTGGATATTACAACAAAATCAAACTGTGGACATTACATCACCACATTAATCCACTCGTCAGTTATTTATTTTCTATTCTTTGTAATTACAAAGGAAAAGTACTTCGGATATTGCTCCGTAATCAGAAAAAGAAAGATCTGCATTTCAAAATAATGAAATGATTTCAATATATATTTGATAAAGAAATCTTTGTGAATTAAATGATTTGTACCAGTGATTGTTATGACAAATTGCTATTAACTCAAAATAATGATGGCTTTGCTTTATTTTCCGTGCCCAAATTACTTATGAATTACGGTAATAGGTAAAAAAACGTTAACATTTGGAAAGA